GAGGAAGAGGTCGCGTGTGGCCGGCGAGTCCGGACACAGCTGCACAGCCTCCTGCTCCCGGGAGAGAGGAGCTGGGGGGGGTGCCCCAAATGTGCCGGAGAAGCAGGCAGGGACGCGGAGCAGGAAGGGAAATGGGGAGGGAAGGGACAGGATGAGGGACTTTCCTGCACCATGGGGCTGCAGCGCCCGGTGCTGCCTTCCCCTCTGGGCTGTGTCCCTGCTGCCAGCCCTGCCAGCCACGCTCAGTCCCTTGTCCCTTCCCCTGCAGGCCAAGGAGAGCATCGAGCAGCTGGTTTACCTGTGCCAAACCGACAAGGAGCCTGTGCGGGAGGCAGCCAAGCAGAGCCTGATGCTGTGCGGTGAGTGTCCCGCTGTGCCTCTCTGCTCCCTCCCCACCCACGGCATCCCGAGCAGCTTCTCCTGGTGCCAGCAGTGCCCTCGGGAGAAGGGGGTCCCGGGCTGGCCCCTGCCTTACCCGGCTTACTCTGGCTCATCGTGCCCCAAGCTCTGCCAGGCAAGAGCAAGTTGGCAGCGGGCAGCGAGGGCCAGGCATCCTGTGGCCACAGAGCACTAAGCCTGGTTGTTATTTATTATTTGCTAGATGGCACTGAGAGAACCATCTGAGTGGGTTTCTAGGCCTCCAGATCGTGGCAGCTGCTGCACAGGTTGGGACACGTGAGCCGTCCTTGTCCCCCCGTTCCTGCTCCTGCCGCTTTGCTCACGAATGTCTCTGTCTTAGAGCCTGTCAGCCATGTCACGTTTTGGAGTCTGTGTGTCTTGGTTGTTCATAGAGCCCATCCCCATGGCACCCCGGCACATGTAGATGCCTCGTGTCCCGTGTCCCGGCAGATTGTCCATGTCACCACCTCTTGCTGGGGATGGCCGCCGCGGGCAGATTTGCGTGCAGGGGTGCCGGGTGAAGATCTCAGAGTCAGCTTGTGGCATGGAAGTGTGCATCCCTGTGTGTGCCCGAGGGTCCTGGGGAAGCCCTCGGGATCCCTGTGCCAGTGCATGCAGATGTGCACAGCTGTTTGAGACGCTGGAGCTGGCACAGCCCCGAGCCCTGGCCCCTTTGCCCCAAGCTAGGCTCTCCACAAGCCAGCACTCCTGCAGCCCAAATGTGGGTGATCCCTGCCCCGTGTGGGCATGGGTACGGCAGGCAGCTGAAGAACAGGATTCGCAGCATCTGAATCGGGAGCTCTGAGGGCTTTTTGAGCCAGACGCTGGCTGGGGACCTGCCCAAGGGCATGCTGAGGAGGACAAGAGAGGTCTTCACTCTGTGGCCGTAGCACACCGGCTCTGCTCTGCCCTGCCAGGCGTTAGCCGGGGAAGGTGGCTGGGGATGGGCAGGGGACAAGAGCTTCTGCAGTTCGGTTCACTGACCGCAGCGTGTACTCGCAGGGGAAGATGGTAAATCAGCTCACCGGCGGCTGGAGGGGGCCCCGGGCAG